AGGTCCTTCTCTGCAGAGCTGATTTCCAGCAAGTCGGCCGCCGGTCTGTGCTGGTGCCTGGGATTATTCCTCCCCATGTGTAGGACCTTGCATTTGCCCTTGTTGAATTTCAGAAAGTTCCTCTCTGCCCATTTGTCCAGCCTGTCAAGGTCCTTCTGAAGGGCTGCACAGCACCTGGGGGTATTGGCTGCTCCTCCCAGCTTTGTGTCATCAGAGAACTTGCTGAGTAGGCTTCTGCCCCTTCATCTAAGCCATTGATTAATAAGCTAATTAATACGGGGCCCAGTATTGAACCCTGGGGGACACCACTAGTGACAGGCCTCCAACTAACCCCTCTGCCTCTGATTATGACCTGCCAGGATCTGCCATTCAGCCAGTTCTCAATCCATCTCACCATCCACTCATCCAGTCCACGCTTTGAGATAGCCTATGAGGATGTTGGGAGAGACAGAGTTGAAAGCCTTGCTGAAGTCAGTATCCACTGCTCTCCTCTCATCCATCCAGGCAGTTTCATTGTAGAAGACAATCAGTTTGGTCAAGCATGATTTACCTTTAGTGAATCCATGCTGACTACTCCTGATCACCTCCTTGTCATTAATGTGGATAGAAATGGCCTCCAGAATGAGGTACTCTATCACCTTTCCAGGGATGGAGATGAGGGCCAGTAGTTCTCTGGGTCTCCTTTTCACCATTTTTTAAGACTACAGTGACACTGGCTTTCTTCTAGTCCTCAGGCACCTCTTCTGACTGCCATGCCCTTCCAAAGATGATGGTGAGTGGCCTTGCTATGGTATCTGCCACCTCTCTCAGCACTTGTGGATGCATTCCCTCAGGGCCTATGGACTTGTGGGTGTTGAGTTTGCCTAGGTGTTCTCTAACCCAATCTTCTTGGACCAAGGGGAAGTCTTCCTTCCAACATTCCTTTACCCTGGCCTCCTGGGTCAGAAGTTCCTGAGGGCTGGTCTTGACAGTCTACACCAATCCAAAGAAAGTGTTTAGTAACTCTGCCTTCTCTGTGTCCTCTGTTACCCCCTCCATCAGTAAGAGGCCCACATCATCCATCATCTTCCTTTTGTTACTGATGTATTTGAAGAAGTCCTTTTTACTGTCCTTGACATCCTTCACCAGACTTAATTCCAGATGGGCCTGTGCCTTCCCTGTTTCATTTCCAATTGCTCTGACAACCTCTCTATATTCATTCCAAGTGGTCTGACCTTGCTTCCATCTCCTTCATATCTCCTGCTTATGCTTGAGTAATGAAAGGAGTTCTTAATTCATCCATGCAGGTCTCTTGTCCCCTTGGCCTGATTTCTTGCTCAATGGGATGCATCATTCTTGAGCTCAGAGGAAGTGATCCCTGAATATCAACCAACTCTCTTGGACCCCTCTTCTCTGCAGGACCTCTTCCCATGGGATTCTTCCAAGAAGATCCCTAGAGAGGCTAAAGCTATCTCTCCTGAAGTCCATGATTAGAGTCTTACATGCTCGTGGTCACTACAGCCACAGCTGCCCTGAGTGTTCACATCTCCAACAAGGCCTTTCCTGTTTGCTAGTATAATGTTGAGCAGTACACCATTCCTGGTGGGATTCTCCACTACCTGTGACAGGAAGTTGTTATCAATGCTTTCCAGGACCTCCTGGATTGCTTGTGCTTCACCCTGTAGCTTCTCCAACAGATGTCAAGGTAGTTAAAGTCCCCAATGAGAACCAGGGTCTGTGACCTTGGGGCTGCTTCCAGCTGCCTGTAGAAGGCCTCATCCACTGCCTTCTCTCAATCATGGGGCCTGTAGCAAACACTCACAACAGCGTCACCCCTACTTGTCTGCCCTTTCATCCTAGCCCATAAGCTCTCTGCTTGCTCATCATCCATGCCAAGACAGAGCTCGATACATTCCAAGTACTCTTCCTCCATTTGAAATGAGTTATATCACATTTATCATAGACTCCTTGCTACCAGAAGAAAATTGAAGGAAAAAATTTATTTTTACTGACAGGGTGGTAAAACACTAGAACAGATTACCCAGAGAGGTTGTGAAACATCCAGTCTTGGAATTGTTTAAATCGTAGTGGGCATAGCCCTAAGAAGCAAGCTCTACTTTGAATAAAAATGTTGGTCTAGACCAGCTACAGGGATGACTGCCAGCCTCAGAGACTCTGTGTTCACATGGCTCCATGAAAACACAAACATAATAAAACACAGATAAGTGCAATGTGCAACTTCATGTATTTAGAGCTCTTGGAGGTTGTTAAGGGGGTTTTCTGAAATGCTTCATTCACAGAAAGCATTAGACATAAATCCATACATAAATACCATCCACATCAAGAACGAAATACTTTACAAAAAATACAGCAACTTTCACCTCACTTAATTCACAACCTGTCAATTTCAGTACCTGCTTAGGCTCAGCCCATCCTGATGGGTGGTAGGCCTGCTGATGCACCAGTTTACCAAAGGCCTGCACACATACAGCTAACCACCATGCTGTGATCTCCCCTGTGTTTTTCATGATCATGAGCTCTGAGCTCTCCCAACACAGGGAGCTCAAGCATGTCCACAAGAGTGCCTCCAAGTCTCTGTAAACACCTATGGTATCTCTACACAGAGATTCTACTTCTCAAAACAGACAGGATAAACAGCAGTAGGCATAAAAGATGGGGTTTCCCACACTGTTATTTTCCAGACCTCAGCATTCCGAGCTGCAAGGTCACTTGAGCAAATCTACCATCCTCCTTGCCATTCTTCTGGTTTTAATCCTTTCCTCCCAACACATGCCCTCAACAGTTTGATATCATCGTGTTCTTACTTCCCTGATGAATATGTAAGTTATTTATCTATATTACTTGGCAAAAAAAAGGTAATGTGGTCCCTAACAAAATTTTTTCTAATTTTACAGAAAGCACATATATTTCATATAGAAAGTGGCTAATTTTCAGTATCATGCAGACTGGTAATATAAACTGATCAGAATCAAAACAATTGCATATTTTGACCAACTTTATTTGTTTATCTAGTTCTTGAGTACGCTTCTGATAGCAGCCAGCACCAGATGCTTTTGAAAAAGATAAGCCTATTAGAGAATAGTCACAATACATGGAAAGCTTCTTCCAAGCTCTGTCAGTTTGCAATTGGTTTATGGTAAAATAGTAGCAGAGCTTAGATCCATAATACCGAAATCATCTTGTCTGAAGTGCTTATGAGATATGTTTATCCACATAATATTATCATCTTTTCATAGGAGTCCTTACAGCGTGCTAAAGAAATCTGAAAATTTTCTGCCACATTTAAGTGTGTACTTAGATTATTCATATACATACTTGTTTCATATATACTAGTTTCCAGAAGTGCTACATGAGCACCTCCAGATGTGTGGTTATGAAGACCTGCAGATATACAGATTATTTTCTCTTTAGAAAGACAAAATAAATGGCTAGTAGTTCCTATGGAAACTGCAGAAAGTATCAGTGAAGAAGAGAAAGGTCTGTAAAAGCTGGAAATAGCAGAGCTGGTTGTTTCTGTATTGATAAAGTACTAATGACCATAGTGAAATTCCAACTGAATAAGAGAAGCGTAAACTCATTGCAGTTTTAGAAATAAAATGATGGGGGATAGGAAACACATATGGCTATCATGAAGAGCCTAAACTGGCAGGTAGTTTTGTTCCACTGAAGCTAGCATATAATATTTTTTTTTTCTTCCTTCCTTTACAAATGTAAGACAGGTTTTGACACATTTTTAGTATGACAGGCTATCATTTCTACTCACTGAATCTGAAGTGGCTGGTTCAGTGACTTATGCATTTATTACTCATCAGAACTCAGTATTAACATTTTGGGAAACCAGAATGTGAAATCTTTATAGCAAACATCTTAGTTCAAGTAGTATTAAGAGATAATCCATGGAGGAAAAAAAATGAGAATTTACTTCATACATTTTTTTTTCACTTGGCAAACTGACTTTGTAAATGGAAAATTTATTTTACAATTTTTAAAAAATACAATATAAAAAAAAGGTACATAATATAACTTGTTACCAAAAAGTTGCCTGGATTAATAAGTGTAACAGATATGTTAGTAAAAATCAGAGAAGGCTGTCTGTACAGCATACAACCAGCATTACACGACATGTCCACATGTGATGATCTGCAGAGCCCCGAGGGACTATTTCAATAAATAATTTCATACAGCTTTATCTCAAACACTCCATAGAGATGTACCTTTCCCATTCTTTAAACTCTGATGTTCAAATACTTATTCCCTTGTATGGTACAGCTACCCCAGATACAGTTCAGTTCCAGATGACCTGCATGCTCTTTGAACTCACATAATTTTCTGACAACTAGGAGAAAGCTCTTCTAATTAAAGTATCCCATTTAGTTGAGTGAAGAGAAGCGCCACACTTTCAAACAACTTGGGTAAAGATTCCCCAGAGGGTATGTCTTTGTTTCAAAGTTTTAAAGTTTCAAAAGTAGGTATACAAGAACAAAAAAGGATTGACTCTATTTCATCCAGATACTGAGGCATTTAACAGCTAATATGGCCTAGGACAACATTAACCACCTGTGCCTCCATTTGTCACATAAAATTTCAAGTGCATATCCGGTAGTATCTTCTTTCCGAACAAAACATTCACTTGTGAAGTTATGCACAGAGCCCTTGTCTATGCAAACAAATAGCACAGCACACCTTCTGGGAGAGTATCTAGACTTCCTCAAGACTTCTGATGCTGTCTCATGATACCCTCATAGCCAAGCTCAGGAACTGAGAACTGGATGAGTGGATGGTGAGATGGATTGAGAACTGGCTGAATGGCAGAACTCAGAGGGTTGGGATCAGTGACACAGGTCAGTTGGAGGCCGGTAGCTAGCAGTGTCCCTGAAGGTTCAACTCTAGTCCCAGTATTATTTAACTTATGAGGGATGGAGTGCCTACTCAGCAAGTTCTCTGATGACACAAAGCTGGGAGGAGCAGCCAATACCCCCAGGTGCTGTGCAGCCCTTCAGAAGGACCTTGACAGGCTGGACAAATGGGCAGAGAGGAACTTTCTGAAATTCAACAAGGGCAAATGCAAGGTCCTACACATGGGGAGGAATAATCCCAGGCACCAGCACAGACCGGCGGCCGACTTGCTGGAAATCAGCTCTGCAGAGAAGGACCTGGGGGTCCTGTTGGATAAGCAACTGTCCATGAGCCAGCAGTGTGTGCTTGTGGTCAAGCAGGCCAAAGATACCCTGGGATGCATTAGGAAGAGGATTTCCAGTAGACTGAGGGAGGTGATCCTGCCCCTCTGCTCAGCCCTGCTGAGGTCACATCTGGAGTGCTGTGTCTAGTTCTGGGCTCCTCAGTGTAAGAGAGACATGGAGCTCCTGGAACGAGTCCAACGGAAGGCAACAAAGATAGTTATGGGACTGTGAGCTCCTCACTTATGAGGAAACTATTAACAATTGGACTAGATGATCTAAGAGGTCTTTTCCAACCTAAACAATTCTATGATTCTATGAAAGCCTGAGGGAGCTGGGCTTGTTCAGTCTCGAGAAGAGATAACTGAGAGGAGACGTCATCAATGTCTGTAAGTATCTGAAGAGAGGGCGTCAGGAGAATGCAGTCAGGCTCTTCTTGGCGGCGCAGAGGAACAGGATGAGAGGCAAAGGGTAGAAACTGGAACACAGGAAGTTCCACCTAAACATGAGGAAGGATTTCTTTACTGTGAGGGTGACCGAGCACTGGAACAGATTTCCAGAGAGACTTTGGACCATTTTGCTCTGGAGATATTCAAAAGCCATCAATACACAGTCCTGAGTAACGTGCTCTAGGGAACCCTGCTGGAGCAGGAAGGTTGGACTACATGACTTCCAATGCTCCCTTGCCACCCTACCCATTCTGTGGTTCTGTGTGAAGTCAGAAAATTGGTGTAGCTTAATTCACACTGTATTTTAAAGATCATGAAATGGAAAGTTCTATGCAAACATTTGGTAAGAACTTATTCAAGAATTCTATACTTTATGCTCTCCTGTTATGTAACCCTTTTGGAACGTGTAGCTTCCAGAAACATTTCCCCTACCTTTATGATGCTCTGACATGTTGAGAGTGGTAAACCAACTAAACTGGTCCCATTGATTGACATGATCTGGTCCCCTATGTTCAGCTTCCCAGACTTCTCTGCCGGTCCTCCATGCATCATGTTGGCTATGATAACTGTAGGCAAAATGGAACCCCAGCCAGACTCCACAATCACCACACCTAGGATTTCTCCCTTTTGCTTTTCAATGTAAACCTGTATAATAAGAAAAAGTGTTTAAAAAAATATTTTTTTTAACATCCATGGAACTTACATCACCCCCCTCCCAACATCTATATAACCAACAAACATACCCTTCTTTGTTTGCAACCTGTCTTCCTAATTCAAAGCAAAACCAAAACAGGGTACACATTTTACATATTTCATTTGTATTCAAACATTAAATGATCAGCACTACATAATATAGATTTTACTTAGTGCAAAAACACCTCTCACAAGTAATTTCTGTGTATGAGCAGAGGAAATGGGAGTGGAAGAAATCCTAGAGCCATTGGTTTTGGTGGACAATCCTAAACAGGAAGAGATTGCAAGAGTTTACAACTGTGCATTAGAAAATCATTACCTGTGTGTTCCAGTGGTGTATTGGTTCATTTTTATTAAGCAAGCTGCAAAGCCTTCTGGTACACACAATTATTTAAAAACTGGAATCAGCCACTTTCATAAACACCCAGGCCTCTATAAATTTTATATTATTTACTGTAATCTTTCAAATTGTATTAATCTGTTAATCTGTTTCAAGTTCACTTTCAAATGTCTCAAAATTGTTTGGTAAAAAGAATGACAACAGATGGTAAATCACTTCAATGCTGATAACTTTTGGGTTCACTGTTTGCCTTTGAAACAGAACTGACAACAGGGTGTCTATTAAGGAGGATATTCTAGACCAACTGAGCTAATTTATAGGAAGTATTGAAGGTTTTTTGATTTCTGCCAACAAGGGCCTACAATTGATACAGAGCAGCTTAATACTGTTAAAGAAAAAAAAAAGATACATACATCTTTGCAATTTTCAGACTTCGAGAAGTGAATCAGGTCATCATTGTACATATCCTGGGTATTGAGCAAGTCGCTATATTCCTTCTGGCTAAGGTCTTCTGGGTTGATTCCATTTGCCCTCAGAAATTCTTGGTAGGCCACACTAAATGCTTGACCTATGGACTGTGCAATCAGCTGCGCCTGTAGCAGTTCCCAGAGAAGAGAAGAGAAAAGTGTGAAACATTCTGATAGTTGTGTGCATTGACACTTTCTCTGTTACAATCACACTGAAAAATGGATCATCAAGTTGACAAACCTACAATTTACTGCCATCCAGTCTAAAACATATTTGTGCATGACTAATTTGAAAGAACCATAAAATGTCAACACATTTACCTCTGCTATGAATCCAGCTTGGTAAGCAATAATAAATATCAGAAATAAAGCCATCCTTTCACAGGCAAGAACTGCTAATATAAGCATAAAGGTATAGCCACTGCAGTCACTGTGGGTTGCACCTACAATTCTTCCTACCCATGCAGGTCCCAGATGGCTCTCCCTTCCTTCCAGGACAATGCCATTCTCTGACAAGCCAGCAACGGAAACGAAAATGTCTACCAGAAAACACACAGACACATTTAAGAAGGTATTTCCAACTTTTCTTACCATCCTTTAGGACCATCACGTTCATATTGACTGCTCCTATCTCAGTCTCAGACAAAATAGGAAAAGGGCAGCAATTGGTGACCAAATCAAGGCCTTGAAGTGACTAGAAATGGTCACATGCATTTCCTTCTTCAACCTGCTACCTCCCTCAGACTCTCTCCCCTATATTTCTTGTTTCACTCCCTCCAAATCCCATGATTCTGCCAGTTCTCTGCCTCTTTCCTTCTCATCCTGTCCTTTGTAGGCACCCTCTTGCATCTGCAGCTGTGCTGGCTGTGGCAAAGAGAGGGAAGAGAAGAGGAGAACTCCACAGCTGACATGGTTGGCCTGGCAGAGTGCTGGCGATGAATGAATGCTGCTCAGGTGTACTTTTATAGAGCCTACTGGCTATACTTAAAGTCCAGTTTGCTCCCTAATAAAGGAAAAGTTCCCAACCTAAATTAAAAATTTGATTGTATCTTAAACAACTCAAACTAGTACTAAATCTGCTGATGAGAACAGCATGATTGCTGGTGCTGAGAAGATCAATATGTAGACTGCCAGTATAGTACCAAAGCTCAGATCAACCTGGTTTTGACAGCAAGGACAAGACAGCAAGGGGAAAACTACACTTCCATAGCTTCATAACTTAAGTCATGAGATAAATGCAGACTTTACATTCATACATATGTATCTTCACTCCAGGAAGAGTCCAGCTCCCAGCATTTGGACACATCACTGGGGTTCAGCTCATTTGAAGATATAGCTCTAAACAGAGTTGAAAATCTGGCGCTGTCCTCTTTAGACAAGGACTTGTCCAAGCAGAGACATATTCTGGACAACACCCACTTGCAGGCTTACAGCTTCTGTCTCACTCTGTAACTTCTACTCACCGTGTAACTTCTTCCAAATACCCAGCTGTCCCAGAAGAAGAAAAGACAAGTTTTATAATATAAACAGGCTGCATTACTTCATTGGACGTACAAGATTTTTGAAGAAGCCATTTCCTTCCTGCTAATAAGGTGCTACAATGCTTCCATTCTGTTAGTCACTTTGAGATACATTTTGCAGGCTATCTGTGAACTACATACCGTGACTAAGGAGAGCTGATATAATCTGCCATTTCTCAGCATATTTTCACATGAATGAGTAATGCTTTTGCTGGATCTACAGGCATGTACTTTCCACGCCAATGTCTAGTGGCACAGAGGGGATCACATCTGAAACAAATATGGGCTGATCCAAAGAAACCATAAATTGAGAAGCACAGATCCCAGCTAGTCAAATGTCCCAGTGAGCAGCCTGGGAAACAGATCCAGGAAGTCTGGATCATCCAAGAGTCAGACCACCACATGCTGAAGTAAAATAAGCCCCAGCCTCTGACATCTGACAGTTTCATTTTTGCTTTTTCAACTGGCCAGTAAGAGAGTAAGCAGTGTCAAAATTAGCGACTAGAAATACAGGAACAGCAGCCTCAAAACAGGCAGCCTATCAAATGATATTAACCGAAAAATATGTTGGCTACTCTTTATTTCATACCAGATTCTTGAAAAGCTTTGCAAAACTGGTTTACATGTTATTTTGTGGGAAAAAACCTCACATTTTCTATATTCTCTGTCATAATTTTGGTACAGGATTACTTTGGATCAGTGCTCTTGTCCTTATTTTTAATTTCAGCATTGAGTCGTGTATATACATTTATCTGCAATCAGATGATTTATTCAGACATGGGTTTAGAACAGATTCATCACTACATAAAATCAGCTGTTTATTCAAAAAAATCTTCCCATCTCCAAGTCCTTGGTGATATACTGTAGATTGGAAAATATGTGAGTATTTTATAAGAAACTGATATTTTCACGTTACTTATGTAACACTCTGCTATTTGGATGATTTAGAACTGAGATTTTTTTTATTTTCCCAAGTTACTAGGCATAACATGATTATGATCCTGACAACTAAATATCTAGCCACTTCAATCTGATATGTCTGATCTTACCATTCAGTCACTGAGCTTTAAAAAGTGCATAAAATCAGCAGGTTCTGCACATTGATTGTGAAGACAGGATATTAAGTCCTACATAAGCTAATTTAGTAATCTGCACTATAGACTAAAATCTGTTCTCTCTTCAGAGATACACTTTGAAATTGTTGAAATTACCAACTTTATTTGCTGGCTTTTTGACATGGTAGCAGCAACTGACTCCCCAGCACAAGCCTCCTGAAAAATAAAAGATCACCTTTCAAGTATGTACCAGTGCTTGATCCTTGATGCAAGGCTTGGGATTAAAATTTTCCTAGGAAAATAAGCATGTCTGATAGACTTTCACTCTCTTGTGCAGAATCTGAGCTGGTATTTGTAAACTGTGGCAACTGGACCCTCCTCTCACTGTTATTGGAAGGCAATCAAGGAGATTAAAAATAGGAAGCATTACTATGAACACCAATTTCTTGAGTAAAATGTTGGGTCCAAACATATAAAGTAAGTTCCTCTGCTTAGATGAAATAGTGGTTGCAGTTTAAAAGCAAGCAGGGCCACTAACAGTGAACATCAGACCTACTGAAATGTGCTTACTTTTCCATCCCTAAAAAATTATAAGGCAAAGTAGTTGCTTACATCCTCAGACTCAAAGACATGGCAAATCATTTTGTACTGTCTCTTTCCGTCTTGGGAAGGGTGAGATGCTTCCACGTTATCCTGGGAGTTAGACCGTGGCATTCGCCTACGAGCCATCAAAACAACTATATTTCCTATATCAGCAATGTAAGAAATGGTCCGCAGGGGATGATCCATCATGGTTTCCTGGGGAATAAGAAAACCAATATAAGCAGCTGCTCAACCAAGTTCTTACTGCACACCTAGGATAAAAACACACAGACAGCAATAAGACCTTTGCTAAGTGAAGTCTGTAATACCTGCAAGAAGGGAGATGCCAACAGGAAACAAGAGCTTCAATTTTCAAAAGTAAAACAAAGTTTTACAAATTAAAGTTGGTTTTTTTTTCTGTGTAAAACCACATAAAGACCTCAATATCTGAACCTGTGTATGCTGGGCATGTACGTGTAGAGGACTACGAACAAATTATTACAACTAAACATTTTGGACTACTCTGAGCACAATCAATACTTCATGCACCAGGGTTCATGAGAAATGAGATGACTGCAACTACTTTACCCACAAATTCTAACCATTTCTAGAGTCACACACCAGAGTAATTGCCTGTATGATACGGTTGTTGACCACAGATTTCTTACTAGGAAATCCTGGGGGAAATACAAGAGCCAGCACATTTTGAAGGACAAATTTTGGCATGTAGGCGAAAGTCTATTTCAGTAGACTACTCGCACAAAACTGACAAAGGTGTTTATGTCTGTACCTGTGTGTCTGCATTCAGTACTTTTATTCTCTGTGTAGAAATGAAGAGGTCTACTTCAGTCATGGGTTGAGATTCACCTTCTGGAGCCTGCAAATAAATGGATTAGAGTCAAACAAACCCATTAGGTAACATACTTACTAATGATGTTAGTTCACAAACAAGGGTGCACTAAGACACAGTCATCAGAACAGCAATGCAGGATAGAGTATTAGACTGCAGAAGCAAAAGATAAACACAAAGATGTGGAAACTATATCATATATGTGAAAGTGAATTGGGTATTGTTTGAAAAAGAAGTCAACCTCATAAAAGCTTCCCTGATATTTTTCCCAATTCCGTAAAATTATAACTGACTGCAGCATGAACCAGATAAAGATTTCATGAAAATCAAAATAATTCTACCATTTTCTGCACACTATGAATCCCACTTTAAGTAAGGATTTCACACAAGCCATAGAAAGGCCCAACAGCATCTCTTGCCCAAGGAATCTCTATATGGGCTAACAGTGGCTGCCAAGACCAATGGAAAAACCTGCACCACAGGTGGGTAGTATTTAAGCAATTCATAATGCAGTTCTGCTAAGAAGACCTTCACAGTCAGACAACGTACTATTCAAGCAGTAACCCACCTTTAGAAGTCATATTTTGTTAATAGAAAGCAAAACATTCATAATTTTTTAAATTACATTTGTTAAAAGGTACTTAAAAGCTCCACAAACAAAACTTATTACAAAGATGAGCCAATCTCAGTATATTACTGTGTGTATAGACAAACTTTTTTCTTTTTTGCATCCAGCAATTTGACATCTCTGTGAATCAAACAATGCAGCCTTACAGAAAGATTAAAAAAAAAAAGGGCTAAAAGAAAAAAAACCCCCACACCTCATTTTAATCTATCATTTTACAGAGTTAAAACCTTTGCCTGTTTCAGTACTGATTCTTTAGTATGCATTTTGGGTACTGCCTGTAACTATTTGATAAATCCAATCTTTATTCTATTTCTAACATGAAATGGCTAATGATAAGCAACAAAAAATGGCCAATCAGGCAACTGATTTCTGACACATGTCAGCTTGTATGGTGGCTCAGAAATAAATCTGAAAAAACCTTGCTGGATGCAGAAAATAAAACCACAAAATAAAAAGAAAGGAAAAAACCCTCCCAGAAAACAAAAGAACAAGCATAACATCAAGCTGATGGAGTTTGTACTGCACCTTCTTCCTGCTTTTGGCTAATTTCTGGGCCATCTGCTTAGCATGGAACAAACAGAGACAGGAGAACAGTTAGAGAAGAACTTACAGAGACTCCAAGTCAAGCAGGAATCTGCATGCTAATGTCAGGGCTCATAAACTACTAGCTGATCTAAATTAGTCCCTGCTTAGATTAATTTCCTCCTTTTCTTTTTGGCTTAAAAAAATAATTTTATGTTTAGCACAATTACTTTCAGAAATGAAAAGAAACAGCACCAAAAGAGTCAGGAAGAACACAAAAGGATTTTTTTTTCACTTAAAATGTTACTTGCAATAAACAAGGTTATTTTGCGTGTGTAATTGGTTTTTTTGGGGTTTTTTTTTTGTTTGTTTGTTTTTTTTTTGGTTTTGGTTTTTTGTTTGTTTTTTTTTTAAGAAACAAAACAGAGCTTTCTGTCACTTCCAGCAGTATAAACCATGATGTTACTTCTTTTGAAGGCACATCAATGTAAGAGGTGAGAGAAGAATTCTAAGCTTTGTTATTCCAGCTTTTTTGGATCTCATACTTTAACAGACTTCAAAAAAATAACCTCCTTAAAATTATGCTACTGTTTTCTGGAAAAATAAAATGACAGAAGGTAACTGTCCCCTTCATTTTCTTCTCCTTCTGAGCAAATAAACCCATATTATACTAATAAACCCATGTTCACATCTGGACAACAGATTTTCCTGTGACACCTACACAAAGGTAAGTCCATACTACCACATTTTTTCAAGGAGGCAGCGGAGCAAGTACTTCAGTTCCACAAACACCTTAAAACAGGTTTCCATTAACAACGTAAATAAATATAACTTACACAGTCCTGCAATCATTAATCCAAATCAAGGTGAACTGAACTTCTGGACCTCCTTAGTGAAGAAATGTAATACTCACCAGGCTGCTAGTTACCCTTTTACTTCCAACACTAACAGTCTCTTTGCTGATTAAATTAACAGGTGTTCTTGTGATGGGAAGGAGGCTTACTGCTACAGACTCCATACAGATTCAGCCCTAACTACTTTTACGAAGAACAAACAGGAGGCTTGAATCACAAGACATATCAAATGTTTCATACTGATGCTCACAACTTAAAGCTATCAAGTTTTGTCTAAACAAATCTGAAAGCAGCTACCCAAAGTTTAGACCATGCTGCTTATTTTCAAATAGAAACATTCTCATACTAGCTTTTAGTGTCATCTCTTCCAAATTAAGAAGTATTTGATAGCCTGGTGATTGCGAACTATTAGAACTGCCTCACATAGCAGGCTCTTCATTACATTACTATTAATTTAAATTAATAGTAAGAAATAATATACTTATCTTGAATAACAGCTGCCTGCCATACACTGGGTAAGGGGGAGATACTCCTGAGGTAGAGCATTTAAATTGCTTTCTAAAATCAAGCTCCCCTTCTGATACTTTGTCCTCCACCCCAAACTTTAGAGCGACAGACCTCCCAAAGGAAGAAAAGCGCAGCCCAAAAAGAAGAAATGAGAGGAAAAAAACCCTGAGCTATTAAAATACACTATCATTCAATTTATTGAAAATTCTGTTCTTCAAATGGAAGCATTTTGAAGAACAAATTTCAAATATTTCTTAAAAGTAAGGTAATGATAAGGAACAAGCACTTCTAAATCTAATAAGTGATTTAACAATGCACAGAAATGTCACAAAAAAAGGTTACAGTGCATGAACAACAAAAAAATTAGGATAATTCTATGCAGGACACTTTATTATACAAATCCTTTTTGTCACCATGTTATTTTGCTAATTCAAATCAGAAGAGTATTTCAAAAAAACCCAGAAACTGTCTAATCTATATAAAATACTATTTTTTTAAAATACACAGAATTTGTGATTGTCACTTAAGGTAAATGAAATGTAATTATTTATATATTATATTTTTAATTTCCAAAATTACAAAATATTAAAAACCAGTAAGCTTCCACTTTTGCTACAGGGGTGTCTTAAGTTTACTCAACCCATTTAGCCTCTCTGGAAAATATACTGCAACTCTGTGAGCATTGAGATGACATTGAGTAAAGAAAATGTGCAGAATATTAAACTATTTCCACACATGGGTTCTATTACACTCAGAAATTGAAACAGGTATTACCTAAAAATGCTCAAACCTGCCACACAGCAAACTAAGAGGGCCTCCTAGTGAAGTATTCATAACTACATTTGATGAATACCTTCAAAGCACTGATTCTGTTTTAACTTTGTTGGACTTCACAGAGATGAATGGCCAAGCAAGAAAACATCCAACTCTTGTACTTATAACTGAAGAAACACCTTTTTAAAAAAGTAACATGGAAAATTGTTTTCAAAATCTGTTCATATTCTAAATGAATGAATATGTGGTCTGAAGGCTCTGCTAAAAGGAAGCATTATAGGGATTATTAAATTCAAAAGGAACACACTGTGATGTGTACATCACAGGGCTTAAACAAAACTCTTCACCCCCTTTTTAATGCTCTTAACTTCAAGCCTGCATACTTTATACATATGGGATAAAAGCTATCTGATGCAGTGATGAATCTGGCAGCAGCAACTCCTTCTATCACACTGAATTTCTCACTAAAACCGTTCAGCTTAAATGGCAATCAGTGACAAAACCAGTCAAAGCCCGCCCTAACAAACAAACCAAAGACTCTAAGGTGAAGGGAGGTTGCCTGAGCTTCACTTAGAAGCAGAATGCAGTAACTGTCAAAGAAGTGTACAATGGTATTGTGTGCCATGCAGTAAGCCAATAATTTTCTGAAATAAACTGAGCTTCAGAAAATTAGTCACAACAGTTGGAGTTTTACCAGGTCAACAATGCAACTATTTGGACCTCAATCCTGAGACAAATATACTACAACAAAAAATACGCATGCCCACCAATTTATATGGATGTATAAATTATGGGAGATATGAGTGAAATGAGTTAAATAGATTTCTTTCTGTTTTGAAGCACAGAAGTGCTGAAACATAACAGAATATTTTAATGAATTTCTAAGAAATACATTCAGTATTAAAGAAAGATTCCATACTCTTACATCTCATAGGCCCAATTTGAATAAATTCTGTTTCATTTTCTCTACCACATCCCTTCAATCTTTTTCTACTGTATATTCCCACAGAAGCTTTACCTTCTAGGTGCAAACTTCCTGCCCAGTCCCAGGAACAAGTGTCACTCCTGATACCATTTTCCTATGACAGCTGATGCCAAACTTTCCTTTCAGCCTCCAGTGATGTGTCACTCCTAGATGCAGCCTCACCAAAGCCCTTATTTCTCTCCCTTATCTTTCTTACCTTTGGTTTCCCATCCATTCAAATCAGACAAATTTTCTACCAGATGGCCAAGCATCAGGAAAGAATACATAGGGACTACCAAACAGAGGGGCACAGCCTTACTTGCACCCAGAGCAGAAATAAAGCATTGAATAAGGGAAACCACTGCAGCTTTAGGAAGAACCCACCAAGACCTGCCAGGGTTGAGAAAGCTGAGTGAAACATTTTTAAAGAATGTTACTGAATACAGAGTCTCCAATGAACAAAGATAAATCATTCTTTTGCAAAAGGCTCAGTAGTTTAAGTTTGTGAAAACTTCTACAGAGATGTCAGAGGATGATCTGTCTTTAACAGGAAGGCTACATCCCAGCCTCTTCTAAAATGCTAGTGTTAATGATTTTCAGAGACAAGGTTACAAGAACTTATGCATTAGAATATCATCAAAATTGAAATTTATGGTAGTCTCTCAATGGTTCTAGTTGGAACTTCTGTGTTAAAATTACATACTGAACTGAACACCTGCTATGGAAAATACTAGAAGGAATTATAATAGTAGGAAGCATCAGCCGACCTTAACAGACAATACTACTGGCTTTGCTGATAACCTCTCCTCTTCCTCTCTCTTTTATACAATCACACACCAAATCTGAGCTGGAACCCCAAATAAACTACAAAAGAAGAACACATAAATATTAAACTAATTAAAATTTCCAGAGGAGATTGTGTTGGTTAGCTGAATCAGGAGAAGACGAAGCTGCGTGCCTACCATCCAGTCATGGGAATATTGCAGCATCTTGTACAACTGTGCAATATTTCATTCACACGTATAATTTCAGCTGACAGTGTCATAACTGTAACTTCAAATACAGCAGCATGCCCATTGCTTGTCCTGGCCTGTACAGAAATTGGCTGGCATGTCTTTTTTCCAAACAAACAAAGCAAATGTACCATATTCTAGGACAAGTTATTTTTATTTCATACATCTCTATACCATCATCACAGATGTTTCCTTTTTAAATCAGCACCTAGCTGCTATGTGTGGAGAAACAAGTATCCACACCAGGGTCAAAAATAACTGCAATCATTACCACAGTAGCAATTGCATTAAGTGCCGAGGCAGAAGCAGCTGCAACACTTACTAGTTGTGTTTTATACTCTAACTCTGTTTTCCCTCAACACCCAGATAATATACAACTTTGACCACCACTCACTTCTGATCCTGGCTTAGTGTACATGGCACAAGTATTATTACAGGGAATTAAAATGACCTGGTAACTCCCCCTTATCAGTCTTTTCCAAAAGCAGCATTAAACATACAATTTTTTTTGCAGAAAGAAAGGTGAGGCACTTTACCTTTCTGAAACCACAGATAACCCCACATGAAAAATTTACTGCATAAGTAAGAAGGTCATATCCACAACCACAAGACACCCATACAAGAGGCAGCAGGAATCATTCCACACCTTGATTCTGCTGACAGCTTCCTGAGCTTGCATCATTCTCACATTCTTGGAGGGAGTTTTATCAGAAAGCAGTTGAGTTGAACCAAGGTAATTGGCAGCAAAAATGATTCCATCGATTAAGTCTTCAGGATCACAAGGTCCAGGAACTGTAATACGGGAAAGAATCACCGAAACAATCATGCTGAACCACAGCAAAACAGCAGCACTTTGACAACTTGAGCTTGCACCTGATGGCTGCAAATCCTCCGAAATACCTCAGTTTACTATGATGATATGGCAACCAGTACTTTCAAAGTAAAACACAAAATATTAAGCAAATGCTCTCAACATCTGTGGTGAGTTGACCCTGCCCACCAAAGCAGTTCAATCACTCCCCTCCTCATCTGGGCAGGGGAGAGAAAATATAACAAAAGGTTCATGGGGAAAGACAGGGGAGAGATACTCACTAATTATTGCCATGGGCAAGACAAACTTGACTTGGAAAAATTAATTTATTTTATTACCAATCAAATCACAGTAGAATAATGAGAAATAAGAAAAAATGCTCCAACACCTTCTCCCCACCCTGGCAAGCTTTTTCATAGACTGCTGCACATTTGTATTTTTAAGGAATTTTGCATTGAACCAAGATCTAAGAAAATTTTAGTTTACTTTTTTTAATTTTTTTTTTCCTTTTAGGAGAAGAGGATTATTTTAAATAGCCCTTGGTAGAGAGGACTACCAATAGGAAATGAATTTAAATTCTAGAGAGACCTTTCATTGCTGCAAAATTCCAATGCTCAGCTATGGACTAATTGACAATCTGGCCAGAGACTCCAAAACATGCAGCTTATACACTGAAGACTAAACCAATGATCAGTTTGTAGTCTAAAGAAAACAATCAATTAAGCACAGCACACTGTAAAGCAATTGAAGGAGCTACAAGGCAGTCCAAAAAAAGTATCACATCAACTGTATTTCTGACATTTCATCAAGCATACAGAACAACCGCTGGTGGGGGGGGGGAAAGAAACTTCTATTTTCTGCTTCTGTCATGCTCTCACAACAAAATAACTGGGTGCTACAACATGCATTCTTCCTACAGTATTACAGGATGCACTCACAGAAAGGTAACAGCAGTTCATGTAGGAGGTAACTTGCTTTTACACATTGTTCTGAATAAATTCAGCACTAGTGCAACCTTAACTCCAAGACAGGAAGCATTATTTAATTAGAGGACAAGCAGCTGTAAAGCAGAGCAGATTTCCTCTGGCAGGCCTGCCAATTAATCCAATTCTGCTAATTAATCCAACCGAGATTGGATTAAGCCTGCCAATTAAAATCAACACTGGACAGAGCACCACAGTGTTAGCCTATTTTCCTTGTCCACAGAAATTCATACATGTTGTGTAAATACCATAAAAATGTAGTATTTTAAGCGATACTGAGGAAAAAAACCCATTAGAACAGACACAGAAAATATAAATGAAATACTATAAAAATAAAAGCTCCATGTTTATGAACTTCTGAAAGACTACAGTAGGATTTAGCTTAGGATCACGTTCCAGATTGGACATAATTTAATCTAAATCAGCATACCCAACCCTAGTAGCTTTTCTATTCAGCAAATAAAATAGTTTTTTATTTTATAAACCCATGCCAGTGGGTTTTTGATACCAAAAAAACCATTTAGAAATTGTAGAATTCTCTTACCTTCAACATACGTCGGAAATGAAGCCAAGCTTTTTCTGGACTGTAATTAAGACAAAAAGGATTTCAAACAGAACATAACATGCACAAATATGCATTAAAAATTTTTCCATGCAAAAAAAAAATAATTAAATGAGTCACAGTTATTAGCAAAGGAAGATCACCAATTATTAATATTTATTATTATATTTAGTATTTTCAAAATCTAAGCACCTACTAGAGTAAAATTCAATGTATTTCATTTCTGCCTATTCACCAGGCAATACGCTAGGCCCAGACTTCAGTTCTTATTGGTGTTCACTAGTGCATTAATTTAATTGTCTACCAATAAGAAATTTAATAAGAAATATGCAAGAAAGTATATAATATCTCAAAGACATTAGATCTTCCAACAAGTAAATACAGGCAGGAACATAAAAATTGCACTATACTGTTATTATTCATTACTGAAACCATCATTAACAAACTGCTGTTATTCATTGGGACTGTTCTTAGATGTATCCCTCATTAACACAGTCTACAAAAGGCTTTAGAAATTTTATCAGGTTATGTATTCCACGGGATAACTGAATTCACTATGGCCTCACCACCAACTCTGCTTACACTGTATGAAGCACAAAACCATATTTGGTAGCTTCAATTACATAAAGAGTAAAGAAATAGAATACTGAGTTCCATATGTAAATAAACAGACTAAAGGAAGACCTTACTTCCAACTGGTATGTTATATGAAAGACTTCATGACTAACACTTCAAACATCTGAAGGCTACAAATTTCAGTGAGTAAGCCATATTATATATAACATATTATGTTATAAACAATAACATAAACAACATATGAAAATTTATCAAATAAAATTCTGTGTGGCAATATATAGATGGTAATGGGTATATTGAAATACCTGCTGCTATCATATGCTGATAGGACTTCTGGATAGTTCAAGGATTACAAAACTTTAATGAATCTACAACTGACTGGTGTGAGGACACTGGCATGCCTTTTCAGATCTGAGGCTCTTTCATGTCCTCAGATGAATGTTCCTACCAAACCATCTATCCACAGACTCCAACAATTGTTTGTAATAGTTGCTGGTGTAGTGCTAAAGAGGAGATTCAAACACTGGGCTCTGACAGGCTTAGAGAACAAATCCCCTACACACCAGAGGCATCTCATGCATATAAATGATCTTTACTTTTTTTAAACGGAGTGGACAAAGGCTGTGATACAGATTTAGCAACTATTCAGCAAACCAACTAGCAACCTATATTTAGGATAGAGTGGTGTAAACCATCATCATGTATCTTTATTGCAAAAACTCACACACAAATTTAATGTGCCTTGTTCATAACCCAGGTTGAAATACATTCTACTAAGACCACAGGAACAGTAAAGTAATAGGTAAAGTTACCAATAGGTGGAAACCTACACCTTTTAATTTTACATAACCATGAATAATGAAATATCAAGGTCATTCATATTTCATGACTCTTGATAATGTCATTGCCATCTAGTATTATAAAATTTATTTTTAAGAAAAAGTTTTCCTAAGCCCTAAAATTCAATCCCAAAAATTATGAGGCTGTTTTATCACTTTATTCTTGCCTTAGAATACTAAGGCAGGAAATATTCCCCATCTGAGAGAAACTAGCAGCTGACACATCCTGCTGTGAAACCCAGTTTACACTCTGTAACTACGAGTAAGCACATCCTAAAACCTGAAATGAGTAGTATCCTGTTTGATTTCTTCCTTTGGGTATATTTACTGATATCTAAAAATTGCTAGAATATAGAATTTATATGAAGAAAGCTGAAAGCTTTAATAAGCTAACAGTACAGCAGATGAAAACTTAATGGCATGATCTACTGTTGAAAAATTATGGGTTTCTCCAGTCTTTTGAAACTTTTCATTATCTTCTAAATGCAAGTAGAGACTGGCACAACTACATACATGTTGAAAGCTTCCTTATCCCTTGATAATTATAAAAGAAAAATAGAAAGAATGGCTTACTAATTAGTGTTTCAACTGTAATCAGTATTTTCTCTTGTAGTGGATCAGGTTTTTAATATAGGAAGATAATTCATGCACTGCTATTGGTAGCAATACAGTATTTGTTACTCTACAGTTTCTACATGGTTTATAAGTTTAAAAATTAAGAAGCAAATAAACCAAGCATTTGCAGATTCTTCTGCTTACAGAGCCTGCCATTCTATACTAACTCAAATACTTGTTATGTTAAAGCGTTTTATTTTCACACTGCAAGAGGTTCTACTCACACTTTTCATTTTGTGTTGGTGGAATTACTGCACTGTAAAACACTGCTAGGTGAGGGGGGGAAAAAAAATAAAGCAAGTATGCAGCTTTATTTTGAGGAGCCTGGAGTCAGGAACTGAATTCTGACTATGAATCACTGGCAGGACAGTTTCTACAATGACAAAATATTAAACAGCATAATTTACTACCTAATTGATTTAATTTTAAGAACTTTTTCATCTGGCTGAGAAATATTTTCTTTGTGGGAAAATAATCTGCAAGGAAAAAAGGAAAGGGCTTCCTTGTTTTGCCTCTGCTACAGAGGAGATGTTGGCTGTTGGGTAAATCAATACCTCCCAGCCTGTTAAATAAATTTAGTGGCAGCTGAACACAGAGTCAGCAATGCCACGATTAAGAGTCTTAAGTATGTTAGAAATTCAGTCAGACAGCCAGGCAAGCATAAGGGAAAGGAGCATAAGGGAAAAGCATAAAGGAAATCAGCTTTTCAAGTTTATTACAATTTTGAAAGAAGAAAAGGGATTGTGCAGGTGCAAGGGGGCAAGGAAAATTAAAGCATGCATAAGCATAAGCAGCATGAACAAGACTGTGGCTTTTAAAAGATTTCACTCTACCTCTTTATTAGTGGAGGCCTCTGCTGTACTGCAGACATCCTGGTGATGTTGCCTACTTGATGATTCAGCACCCCGAGGTGAAGAGGAATCTGGAGACGGAGACTAGACATGGCAGGAAAATGAAATAATATTATGAGTGTCCAGTGTAGAAATTCTTCTTTCATATTTTCCTCTAACTTGACAATCTCTAATCAAAGTAGAGATGAGGGGAAAAAAAGACAAAACAAGACAAACACTTAAAATGCTGTAATCCTTGCTTTTTATGACAATGATCACATTTCAATATCTCAGTGAACTTATTTTGAACAGTTAAAAGACACTTGTGTTTATTTGTCAGAAATGTATGAAATCAAGCAGTTGTGAAAATCGAAAGCTGTACTTGGTGGTAGGCAACACTCAGTCAAAAAGGGAGTCAAGTATTTTTGCCAGGTGAATGGAGGACAATCTGGTATTGGGATAACTATGTACTCTTACATTCAACTAAGCTGCAGTTACAGGACTTTCAGCTGCAGGAGAACATGACTGTGGCCTGCAGATAAATGACTGAGCTTACTGAAGGCTGCAGACAATGCAGACCGATATCCTGAGCTCTGACACTCCAAGAAAGAAAAAAGGTGAAGTCACTTAGCAGTAAGCTCTGGTGGGAGACAAGTGAATTGACCCTACCAGAACACAGGGATTCAGCTAAAGATTACTTAGTTGGCAAACTCGGGAAAGTGAAGAAAAGACTGCACACGTGCTCTCAGGTATAATCACCTGAGGTGCTAAACTAATTTAAACTGAGCAGAGGGGGGCTGCAGTGGTTGTCCATAAATGTTATTCCATCATCTTACAAAACAACTTTTATAAACTGTGCAGAGTAATACTGATGTATTCAAGGACTTGTGCACATATTCAATGATTATTCAATACCATTGTAATCAAGGATTGTGACTCCTTATTCTAGATACACTGCAAACTTGGAAGATATTCCCTAGTTCATGCTATGATCTCAGTAATATACATGCTCTTTAGATCAAATTTCCTCATTTTTCTCTTTTCACCAAAAACAATTCAGTGAAGCACCTGACTATGTGATCTGCCAGCAAGTATCTTGATAAAGGGAAAGAATGCTTTGGGAAAGGATATTCTAATCATAGACAATTCCTAATGAATGCTGGTGACACTAAAAAGCTGTAGCAAGGTATCTATAGTACCTAGCAGGGGGCCCTGGTATGGGGGTATATGACACAGGAACACAGAGTATGGAATCAGTGAAGGTGACCAAAATGAAAGAGTACAAAGCTTTAACCCAGCAAGCATTTTTTAGAGGTAGATTTTAAGGACATACCTGCAAAACATGTCTGTGCAAGCCAAAATGTGAATCTTCAAAGGAAATTTAGCATTTAGCTATGCAAGCTGGATGTTTAGCCCAACAGCCCTGGCATTCTACACTCTCCTTTGACACAAGGAGACCATGGCCCTAGCTTTGCTAACTCAGCAGTTCATCACAGATGGCAAAACAGTCAGCTGCTATTCTTCTCTTTTCATAAGCAATTACATGGCATGGCTTTTCTCTAAGCCAATGAGTCATACCAGAAAAGGGCTACATTTCCAGTGTTCTGAGCTGGCAGCAGCTCCAATCTAGGAGTGCCCTTGTGCTCTGCATCCACTCCAGCTGCAACATTGCATTCTATAAAACAGTGTACAAAATTAAAAAAAAACCACCAAAACCAAACAACCAAAAGCCCAAACCACTAAGTTTCCCTTAGATATGGAACAAAACAAGAAAACTACACTCCCTTCTCCTCTTTCTCTTTACACTCATTGCTCTAAAACATCCATCTCAGATAATAACTAGGTATTAAAATCATAGTTAACTAACAAAGGCTTCCAAAGAGTTAGGATGCAATTCCTTACACATATGTCTCCTAGGTAGAAGAGCAGTCCCTGTATCTCCCTGTATTTTGAATTACAACTGTAAGGCAAAAGGAGATGCAGCTGTGAAACCGTCCCTGACCAGATACAGCTGTGAAATGGTCCCTAGAATTCTGGGATTTGCTTGTGCCATCAGACTGAAGAACTGCTCACTGTACCTTGAGCATTCAAGCAGGGTCTTGAATGAAATACAGGCTCATTTGGCTTGCTATGCAATTACCAGAGTTAACAGTGCAACAATGGCAGAAATAGCAATTCTATTTACATAGGGAAGTGTCTTCATAACACTCACATTCTTAATAGTTATGCAGTATTTTTGTGTTAGGATTAAATATAAAAGGCTCACAATACTATCAATTCAATAATGACATCCTAATATTGTAGGATTGAGCTTTAAACAGTAGAAAAAGAAACCAAGTTAAACACCAAATGTTTCCACACACAAAAAATATCTTTAGAAGGCCTGAAAGCTCTGATATTTACACACTGAAGGAAAACAATTAATTATTTAAACCAGACATTTGGCATTAAGAAACTTTGCACCATTCAAAATGTACTAACAGTTACTTCAGTAGCACTACAAATACTTTTACTCTGCTATTTTCATTTACAAAGTATCAGAACTAAGCAACCATCAAAATTATCACAGGCTTTCTGTAGGCTCTGTTTCAATGTCTGCTCAAATACTGCTGGGGGGAAAAAGAAGAAAACCAAAACCAACCAACCAAAAAAAAAAAAAAAAAAAACTCAAAAAACCCAAAAAAAAAACCAAAATCAAAACCAACCAACCAACCAACCAGTACTCCCCAAACTACAAAACCGAAATATCAAACATCCTACAAAGTTTGCTACATGACATGACATGAGAGCTATCATGTCCAAAAACATTTGTAGAAAAAAGTTAAGACTTGGAAGAACAAACACTCATCTTCAACATCAAAATGCATTTTTTAAAGGTACCATATATAACGTACAAAGAAAGAATGCAGTCACAGCAATAACAAGTAATATTTTGATAGATCATAGTGGATAGACAACTTGCATAGCTGCTCTAGATAAAGTATAAAATAAAAACTTAGTGACTGCTCTGTTGTCATTAACAAAACAAGTTTTGGAAGCCTAACAGAAATGTCAGAACAAACACAGTAAGCTCACGTGAAGCATGCTGTTATTGGGTACAGAAGTCCATCAATGGAATTAGAATTTTTTTTTCTTAAGTGCATCAATAAAAAAGTGCTAGTTACCCCATTCTTCCTCTCCAGTATCTACTTACATTTTTCTTACGATATTCAATCTGGTACATCCAAAAATTCTCCATCTCAATTTTGGTGTTGTTTGACTCTAACTAATGTGCAAGCCACTCCACCTGAGAAACCTTCCTCGCTACTGTGCAGAGAGATTTAGTAACAGAACTTGTAAAAGGAGAGGATTGTGTTACATCTAGCTTATCCAGGTCAATTCAGCTGTTTACTACATAGCTCACGAACACATATGTAACTGACACTGAAGCATCTCTAAATACAAGCACTTGCTCTTGCTTTATAAAAGCAGTGATGTTTTACATGCTTTTAGCAGCAGATCACCTGAAAAAAGTATAACTTTTGGGTCACATAATCACACACAAGGCTGGGACAGAGGGGATGAAATCATAGAATCATAGAGTCATAGAATGTTTTCTCTTGGAAGGGACCTTAAGATCATCTAGGTTCTACTGCCCCTAGATCAGCTTGCTCAAAGTCCTGTCCAACGCTTGAACACTTCCAGGGATGCAGCATCCACAGCTGCTCTGGGCAAACTGTGTCAGTGCCTCATCACTCTCACAGTAAATAACTTTTTCCTTATATTTAATCTAAATCTACTTTCTGACAATTTGAAGCCATTCCCCTTGTCTATCACTGCATGCCCTTGTAAAACATCCCTCTCCTAGCCCTCAGTACTCTTTAGGTACTGAGAAGCTGCAGTAAGGTCTCCCCAGAGTCTTCTCCACTCCAACTCTCTCAGGCTGTGTTCATGGAAGTGCTCCAGCCCTCTGATCATCTCCATGGCCTCCCTCTAAACTCACTCCAGCAGGTCCACATCCTCCTTATGTCACGGTTCCCAGAACTGGAATCAGTAGTCCAGGTGGGCTCTCACAAGAGCGGAATAGAGAGGCAAAATCACTTCCCTCGACCTGCTGGCCACACTGCTTTTGATGCAGCCCAGGATATCATTGGCTTTCTGGGCTTCAAACGCAGTTTATGTTCAATCTTTCACCCCCCAGTATCCTCAAGTCCTTTTCTGCAGGGCAGCCCTCAATGAGTTTTTTCTCCCAGTTTGTATTTGTGTTTGGGATTGCCCCAACCCAGGTGTAGGACCTTGAATCTGGCTTTATTGAACTTCATGAGATTCTCACAGATCCCCTTCTCAGGCCTGTCCAGGTCCCTCTGGATGGCATCCCTTCCCTTTCTTCAGCAAAATTCACTGAAGGTACAAAACCAGAGATTTTCATCTAAGCAGTGACTCTGTACCTCTGTCAAAGTCTTTGAAGAAAAATTCCTACCTGTTACTGTTATATTACTGTCTCAAATACAAAATAAAAATACAGCTAGGACACATAGAAGTTTAGATCTGACACAGAAAAGTTCAAGGGAGCAAACTATAAACATAACCAACAATAAATGTAACTGAGCCTGTTAGGGCAAGATAGCCCTTTATTTTGCCCATTTCAAAGAATCTCTTGGCCACATGAGCCAGTAGCAGTAACCATGAAGTACCCCAGTCACACTTTTTGAGCAGGTAACTTCTCTTTGAATAAAATCTTATCTGTATGGACTCTGATTGTCCATCAGGTCACACATACACGCTTTGTAGGTAAGGTCTGTCCAGCACCATGCATGCTGGATGGAAGACTTGCAGCACAGCAGGGCTCCTGGCAGCTGGTTGAGCGCTGGATGTTTCTCTTCTCTTGAGTATGGACTTCCTTAGCTGTACTTCCACTTGAACTTCCAGTAACAATGCAGTTTTATGCATCAGTTTGAAAAAAATCAGTGTAGATCTCTCCTGTGTTTTCAAAAGTGTGGTTCTAGTTTTCAACAGCACAGAAAAACCCTTGAAATTACTTTCATCTGTCAATAATTAAAAAAAACCTAAAAACCAAAAAAATATTCAAGAGGTTATGTATCCAGTGCTCAATGTAATTTAAAAGC